CAAAAAATATTTTTCATCCTCAATTTAAGGTGTTTGGCTAAACTTTTTTGAGGGAAAAAATGATATTGGGAAGAAGTAGAAGTTAAAAAAAATAACTTCTCCCTAAAAACAGAAGCAATTTTGACTTTTTTTTTTACAAAAAATACCCTTAGCAAATATAGTATATACCAAAATAACCTTACTTATTTTAAACTTAATATTTAGAATTAGAGATTGTATTATTGAGAACTCTCCTAATGTATAAATATGTTGAATGATTTTTTGATATATTTAAATCAACTCGAACAAATTAAAGTACTTTTCAATTTTATTTCATGCTATACCTAAATAAAATGAAAACTTAATTATAATCTTTAATAATAAATATTTGAGACTATTTATTTATTTATATAATATTAACTATTAATTAAAACTTTTTATGTCCTTATTCGTAATTTGATATTTATTAGTATTCTTTAAAAAGCTTGGTCAAGCACAAATTATTGCTCAAAAGTGTTTTTTAGATTGATTAGCCAAACACAAATTGATTTTTTCAGTTTGGCCAAACGGACTATTATATTCTGATTTACATTATTAGAAGATAGGAAAAAGCGTCTCCACTCACTCTTTTGAGATTAAAACAAAGTGGAATAAACATTAGGCTCATAGAAGTATATTAGATATTTCAATCTAAACTCATAACAATATTATATTTTCTAACAGTATTCCTTTTAAACCCATAAATTTTTAAAAATTGTTTTAAATACCAAAATTTTATTGTTTTTTCTTTCTGAAATTTGGCACTCAATCTTGCCTTAAAATTTTATTGAGAAAAATACCTGACGCGCTTCAAGCGTCTTTGGTAAAGTAATTTCTTTAAGCATAAAAAACGCGCCATGAGGCTCCCAAAATAAAGCATAAATACACCTCACACACGTCAAAATCAACCCCTAACAACTCCTCTATATTTTAACCCAAAACAAATAAAGGAAAAAATGAAACCAGCTCCCTCTTCACCAATATCGACGGTTGTATTCAACAGAAATACCTATGATATGGACACGTGTTGAGGATGCATATACCTCGAAACACGTAGAAGCTACTCTCTCTATTATTGGTGGTTTTCTTTCTTTAACGTGGCCCCCACTCTTGCACCTTCCATTCAACGTCTAATTTTATCATATTAACTCTTGATACACAAAAAAGAACTCTATTGACACTAGTCACCTTCTTAGTGGTCGTTTGGCATGTTGTATAAGGCAATTAATCATTGTATAAGAAATTGTGTTAAATTACAACATTGTTTGATTGTAATTTCAAATGTAGTATAAGTAATTCATGTATTATTTTATATACCAATTGGTGTATTGTCTTATCCCCTGTCAATAGGGAATAACTAATCCATATAATATTAGTTATACGTAGATAAAGTACCAAAAGGACAAAACTATCTTTTTCCAAGAAACTTATGTAGACCAAATATCCTAAGGTATAATTATAAGTTTATTATTTTTTAGTTTAAAAACAAATAAATAATTTAGATGATACTTTGTATACTCAATTAAGTGTAATGAACCGAATAGCTAATAAGAAATAATCATACTATTAATTTTCGTATTGTTAATATCTGCATTGCTAATCCATTATAGCTTATCTTTGATCCAAACAACCCCCAGAGGCTACTTATTGTGTACTTTTATTTACGGTGTGATTCTGTGCTTTTGACCTTCTCTCTTTTAGCCCAAAAAATTCTTTCTTCCCCATTAAGCATTACTGTTCAAGTCTTAATTAATAACTAAAACACAATAAATTAATACTTCTTCTAGTACTCTTAGCCAGAGTCGGCCCGACGAATTTTGTAGCTTAAAGTCAAATTTTATAAGGGGCCTTAACTTTTAAAATTATTTATTTGAAGTCTATTTTTTTTTTAACTTTTCTTAGATACAAAGTAATTAATAATTTTCCTATAATCAATAACTCCTAATAAGTATATTTCAGTTGACAATATAGCTAATCCATTTAATCTTTCTTGAGACGTTGTTAATGTTAGGTGATATTTTATCAATTTTAATTTTTACAACTTCTTTCCGCTGAAGCAACGGTAATAAGAGTTATTAACATTATTCCATAACCAATATAGACATTTGGAAAAGAATCAAATATTTATATTTGATTGAGTGTATCAATTAAACTGCTTCTCCATCTTCTAATTGTACTGTTTTTCTTGATATTTTTAATTCAGAAAATAAATATAAACCATCAATATCGAATTGATTAATATGCTTTAAGGAACATTCAAGATTGATGCAATATTGTTTTAAATTTTCATCATCTAGTGATCTTAGTTTTTACCGCTAAATAGAAAATTAAAAATAGTTTCATAAGCTTCGAATTGTTAAGTGAAAAAATAGCCTTGTCTACTATGTATAAAAGTAATCAACTCTAAAGGATTCTTTGAAAGATTTTGAGATTTCATTATTAAATTCTCATCAAATTGTCACTTCCTACATATCACACATTTCTTACGAAATTTGAGTTCGATATTCATTTCAAGTGCAATTTCGTTGGCAGAAATCATAGCAGTTGTATATCCTTCTTCTCTATATTTGTTAAAGAAAAAAACTTTTTCTCTTTACAATTTTTTTTTAAAACTTATATAAAGCTTATTAGGTGTAACAAAAAATGGGGCCCCGCAAATATGGGGTGTAAAACAGTTGCTTTACTTGCTTTATGGAAGTGTCGTCCCTGCTCTTAGCTCCTGACACTACTAGAAATTTGGCAAAAACCGACCAAGAAAAACCGACCAACTTTGGTCGGTCAAAAAACCGGCCAAAAACAGACCAAAGTTGGTTGGTTTTTCAAAATATTTTAATTTTTAATTTTTTGTTACGAAACCGACCAACTTTGGTCGGTTTTCTTTGGCGCAAAAAGCGGGAAACTATTTTTGAGTCCCGCGAAATTTATTTTTCAAGAAACCGACCAACTTTGGTCGGTTTTCTTTGGCGCAAAAAGCGGGAAACTATTTTTGAGTCCCGCGAAATTTATTTTTCAAGAAACCGACCAACTTTGGTTGGTTTTTGCAATTAAAATTAATAATAATTAATATTAAAAAAAGAGAAAATGCATAAAGTACCCATTAAACTTGTTCGGGAAAATCATTTACACACCTAAACTACGGGCGACCTTTTACCCCACTATTTTCATCTAAACTAAATTTAATATCTCATTCAAAATACTGAACCAGTCTTGTGGTGGGCTGTGTCAACACGCGCCATACATGTATCAATTACTACACTATTTTTTTTTTTTTTTATTATATACTTCTTCTTTCCTTTTCTATTCTTTTTTTTTATTTCATCTTCTTCACCTTTCTTCCTCGTTATTTTTGTCATTGCCACTGTGGAAGCCATTCACAGCCATAACCTCCCTTAAACACATCAACTCTATCTCTATTCTTCTTTTTTTATTGTAGATAAATTTATTTGTGCCTTTGACATTACACGGAATTAAGGAGAAAAGGGGTCGGAAAGCTTACAGATCAGCTCTATCTCTATTATTCTTTTTTTCATTGTAGATAAATTTATTTGTGCCTTTGACATTACACGAAATTAAGGAGAAAAGGTCGGAAAGCTTGGGATAGAGAGAAATGTTTGGTTGGCCGGAAAGTTTGGTATCGTCGGTACCGTATTTTTTGACAAGTTGGGTTTGTGCTCCTAATTCCCTTCGTCTGGGTTTTCTTAGGAGAATATTTGTCACTTTATTCCTCCTAGTTTTGTATTGAAAGAGTGAAGAAAACCTAAGATATAGAGCCACTACTTAAGGACCTATAAATTTTCTCCAGTCGGAGAATTTTCCGGTGACACCTTGTCTTCTTTTCAACACTATGTCTGGTTCTAAAGAGGTATTTTTCAGCAAATAGATGAAAAATCGGATGGAAAAAATCTCAATTGAAGAAGGACGGAGATAAGGATAAGATCATTGGAAATGGATATTTTAGCAAGCTAGAGCCATTGGTTCCTGCTTCTGTTAAATGAAGAAAGAGGAAAAAAACGAAAAAGAAAAGAAAAATGAATAAGAAAAGAGAAAAACATAGTATTAAGTTAATTAGTTATAATATCCAATAGGAAAGTGACACCTGGACAATTAAATTAGTTTTAAGTTATTTTTTTTGCCTTCACGCGCATCTACAAAATGAATTATACGTTTTATGCCAGGTCATCATTCAAGAGGGTATTAAATTCACTTAAGTTTAGAATAAGGGGGTAAAAGATCGCTCGTAAAGTTTTGGTGTGTAAATGATTTTTCTGAACAAGTTTAATGGGTACTTTATGCATTTTCTCTTAAAAAACCGACCAACTTTGGTCGGTAAATTCGGCAGGTCATTTTAAAAAACCGACCAACTTTGGTCAGTAATTTTATTTTTTAACAAAATCGACCAACTTTGGTATGTTATTTTCGTGCGAAAATACAATTATAGAGTATAAATAAAAAATAAGACAATCTTAAAACAAAATGCACTAATGGTTTAGTGGTAGAATAGTTTCCTGCCATAGTACACACCCCGGTTCGATTCCCATATGATGAATCTTTTGATTACATAATTAAAATACCGACCAACTTTGGTCGGTTTTTTCTTGCGACCAACCTTGGTTCTTTTACCTTTATGACCAACCTTGGCCAGTAATTAACGACCAATTTTGGTCGGTATACTAAAACGATCACCAAAATAGCGACAAAGCGTGTTTGGATGCGTTTTGGTCGGTAATTTGCTAAAATCGACCAACATTGATCAGTTTTTGTGATAGCTAATTACCGGATTTTTAGCAGTGTGAGTATCTTGTATTGTAATGGAAGGAGTATTGTTTACTGATTGAGGTCAAGTACTAAACTCCTTTTAAAATCAAGCTCATAGGACCGTCAATTTCGTGTTGTCCAATGGGGGGCCATCTTTCTCTTTTTAAACAGTGTTGGAGAAAAGAAAACGCCTATAAAAAGAAGTAGGCCTGTGTAAAGAAAGATCTCATCTTATCAAAGGAAGCAAAAAAGAAAAGTTTTAGTAGAGGGAGCAGCCTTTTTGCTTTCTCCCTTTTGTCCTTAAGCCTGTTCTAAAGCAAAGGAAAGAATCCAAGGGAAGTTTCTTACAAAGTCTTCCCTTTCATTAAAATCTTTTTAGTATAAATTTACTCATATAATTAACCCACTTTCTTTCCTCAGAAAAGGTTCAAAGTCTCTGATTTTCACTTTCTTCCTCTAAATTAAATTAAAGTTGTGTTTCATAGATATAGATATTTGCTTAAAGAGAGAAAAAGAAAAATGGGTCTAGGAGGAACTTTGGAGTATATTTCTGAGATCATGAGTAGTGATAAGCCCAAAAAGAAGAAGAAGCAGTTTAATACAGTGGAGCTCAAAGTCAGAATGGATTGTGATGGCTGTGAACTTAAAGTCAAGAAAGCTCTTTCTTCCTTGAGTGGTAAGTACGATAACTTCATTCATCATCATCTTCTTTTTTCCCATTTACAAACAATTACTATCAGCTTTGTTTAGCTAAGTTAGCTGAAAGATACTTTTAACATGCTGATATCAGTGGCAAAGTCAGGTATTTTCCAAAAAAGTGAAAAAAAATGACAGACAAACTAAAAGGTATTCAATATATGTTATATACCACTAAAATATAATATTTTATTTATATATGAGGTATAATTTTTCGACCTTTAAGAAATGTAGCTTCGTTCATGGTTGATACTGTTGTGACTCAACTACAGTTTTCTCAATGTCTCACACTATTAAAAATTTCCTTATAGTTTATATGTAGTTTATTTTTTATCAACTTCCAATATGCGAATTTGTTCCCACACCCTACACACGAGATATATCCAATAATTTTAAAGTTAGGTATATTAAAGCTGAAATATTTTGGTTTTGGTTATAATTGCAGGAGTGAAGTCTGTGGAGATAAACAGGAAACAACAGAAGGTGACAGTAACAGGATATGTGGAAGCAAACAAGGTGTTAAAGAAGGCAAAGTCAACAGGGAAGAAGGCAGAGATATGGCCTTATGTCCCTTACAATTTGGTGTCTCAGCCCTATGCTGCAGCAGCTTATGACAAGAAAGCACCACCTGGTTATGTCAGAAGAGTTGATCAGAACAACTCAACTACTGGAACAGTTGCAAGATATGAGGACCCTGCCTATACCAACATTTTCAGTGATGACAACCCTAATGCTTGCTCTATCATGTAATATTCTGCAAATAACTGCGCCTTAATTCCAAATTAGTTGTAGTCAGCTATTATTATGGGAGTAATATTCAAAAAATTTAGAGCACTGCAAGTTTGTGTGCAGGGTTTGGGATTGGGTCGAAAGGTTAACTGCTGTGGTTGTAAGTTTTGCATGGGTGTTAATGAGCGGAGTATGTATCAGAAATAACTTTGTACTTTCACAAAATTGGGGTATAGTTTGCGTACACTATCGTTTATATACCTACTTGTAGGATGTCACTAAATTTTTTTGATATTGTTGTTGTTGCATGGGTGTTAATGAGTAGGGTTGGGTTTTTGGTACAGTCTGGAGTACTGAATGAGCAGTCAAGCAAATAATTAGGAATTTACAATGGGGGTGGTTGTAATAAACCTGCTACTTGTAGTAATAGAAGAATACTACATTGTCATTTTGAATGTTATATTCTCTTTCGCTTGTTTGTTTTTTTCTTCTTTTTTTAAGTGTAATTTCTACTATATATTTACAGAAAATTTTCACAATTATCTAAAAGATAATTATATGTAATTGTGCATAAAAAAGGGAATTAGCAACCTAAAAAATAAGATGGGCTACTAATACAATAGATTAAAATATACTAATAATATAAAAAAAAATTGTACCATTTAGGGTCTTTTGATTTATGACTTCGACTAATTAATTGCAACATATAAGATAATACAACGTTTGGTTGGCTTCATGAAAAAATTAATTATCCTATAAACTAATGCGAGGCTTGATTGGCAGTGTTAAATAATATAAGTGTATTAGCAATGCAGAGATTAAACTATTTAAAGACAAAAATACTCCTTTTTTATGCATAATAATGTTCTCATAAGCATAACTGCATAACAATCTCTTTATTACTATTAATCATGGACTAAACAATCCAAATATTATATATAATCCCATCATAACAATTATGTCAACCACACGAGCCCTATGAATAAAAATTCGATTTTCTACTTGGGATGATGTTTGATGATGAGTTTCCTCTCTGCTGGTTGTACACAGCTGTAACATTGATATCACAGCAAATTAGCTGGTTGTTAACGTTCATGACCCTCTCCTATTGCTGGAAACTGTTGGTACAAATAATTTTGGGTCCAACACCCACGGTTTAAGTAGGACTTCTTGAGTTGGTGAGGACGGGAGCCAGTGGAGGTGTAGTCCTTTCAAAACCAAAAGAAAACAAATTGAATAAGAAAATGAAAGAGTTAATATATATATATAAATTCCTATAGTTAACTTACATACAAAAATAGTTGAATGTTTTATTAGCTAGCATTTGGATATATATCTGGTTGAAACTTGTAAAAACAAGATTTTGAAGATGAGATGAAAATTAATTTTTAAAAGTTGCAATTGTATTTGGACATGCATTCTACTTGCAAAGAATTTGAAATTAAATTTTGCGGGTAAAAAACTTCAAAAACTACTCTAAAATTATTTTTGGGATTTGAAGATTTTTTTAAAAAAATATGTCAAAAAATAGTTAAAATCAATAAAGAAACAGATATTTAAAGATAAAATTTGAAAAGAAGCTCCCAAATCTTATGGCCAAGCTTTTTTTTGGGCCAAAAAAACACTTTTGGCCAAAAATTGAGGTGTTTGGCCAAGCTTTTGGAAGGAAAAAAAAGTGTTTTTCAGGAGAAGCAGAAGTAGTTTTGGAAAAGCAGAAAAAAGTAGCTTCTCTCCAAAAGCACTTTTCGGAGAAGCACTTTTGAGAAAAATACACTTAGAAGCAGTTTTCAAAAGCTTGACCAAACACTAATTACTGCTCAAAAGTGCTTTTCAAATTAATTAGCCAAATACAAACTGCTTCTCACCAAAAGTATTTTTTAAAAAAAGTACTGTGACGACCCGCCTAGTCGTCTCATGAGTTACCGCTCCATTTTTCCCATTTCTGCTTCTTTATGCTTTCTTTATCCGTGTTATGTGATATCAGGTTGGTCGGATCGAATCCGGAATGAATTTGGTAAGGTTTGAGACACTTAGTCTCTTTTGAGGAAGCTTAAGTTGGAAAAGTCAACCGGATGTTGACTTATGTGTTAGAGGGCTTGGATGTGAGTTCCGATGGTTCGGTTAGTTTCGGGAGGTGATTTGGGTCTTAGGAGCGCGATCAGAATGAGTTTTGGAGGTTCATAGTAGATTTAGGCTTGAATTGGTGAAGTTGATATTTTGGCGATTTCCGGTTGGTAGGCGAGATTTTGAAATAGGGGTCGTAATGAAATTCTGAAAGTTGTAGTAGTTCCGTTGTGCCATTTGGGATGTGTGTGTGCAAAATTTCAGGTCATTCGGACGTGATTTTGTTGAGTTTTTGATTAAAAGCGTAATTTAGAAGATTTTGGAAACTTAGGCTTGAATCCGATGTGTTTTGGTTGATTTGATGTTGTTTGAGGTGTTTTGAAGATTTGTACAAGTTTGAATAAGGTTTTAGGATATGTCGGTACCTTTGGTTGAGGTCCCAGGGGCCTTGGGTGAGTTTCGAGGGGTTGAACGGATCACTTTTAAGTTAAGAAAATTGCAGATTTTGGTTTCAGCGGTTGCAGACATTTTGGTCTTCGCAAGTGGACCCTCGCGTTCGCGAAGGGTCAGGAAGGGAGGCGTCAGGTTTGGCCTTCGCATTCGCGAAGGGGAGTCCCGCGTTCGCGAAGGCCCGGAATGGTAAGCATCGCATTCGCGATAGGCTTGGTCGCGTTCGCATAGGTTGGTGAAGCTGAGGCATCGCGTTCGCGATGGTGAGGTCGCATTCGCGAAGAAGAGTTTTGGTCAACAGAATTTTTGTGCTTCGCGAACGCGAGCCGTTGACCGCGTTCGCGAAGAAGTAAATTAAGGCCTGGGCAGAATGTTTAAATACTCGTCTTGTCCGCGATTTTGGGGTTTATTTCCTCCATTGTTGGTCGTTTTTGGAGCTTTTTGAAGGGGATTTAAGAGGGATTCAAGGGGAATCACTTGGAGGCAAGATTCTTGGACTTAAAACTTGATTCTAATGTAAATTTCACCTAAATAATCATGGAAATTTAGCCAAAAATTGAATAACTAGGGCTTGGAAATTTAGACCTTTGATTGAGGATTTGAAGGACCATTTGAGGGCGGATTTAAGAACTTTTGATATGTATGAACTCGTGGGGAGATAAAGAATCTATTAATATAAAAATTATCGAATTCCAAGATGTGGGTCCGGGGTCGGGTTTTGGTAATTTTGGGATTTATGTTGTAAATTGATTATTTTCGCTTGGGCTTCATTTCCTTGGCATATTTTGACGTCCTCGTTCTGATTTTGGATAGATTCGACGCGAGTGGTGGCCGATTCGAGGGGCAAAGGCATCGCGAGCTAGAGATTTGACCGGTTCGAGATGAGTAATGATTGTAAATGATGTTCTGAGGATTTGAAACCCGGGATTGCACATCGTAGTGCTATATTGAGGTGAGGCACACGCTTGATGACGAGTGTGGGGTCGTGCACTTTTGGGGATTGTGACTTGGTCCGTCCCGAATTACTATTTTACTGCGTATTTGACTAAAATCTATTTGCTATCCTCATGATTTGGGCTGAATGCCATATTTGGGCCTTTTGCAAACTATTTGAGTCTTTTGGGGATTTTTTTTACTAGTATTTCCTCACTGTTTTGACTTTATACTTGAACTCAGTCATGATATATTTCTCTATTTTTCGTACTCAGCCATGTTTACTCTATCTTAACACTTACATGATCTTTTAAATGATATTTTGGGCTGAGAAACATGTTTTACTACTGCCCGTGTGGCTTGTGAGGATTTTGACTGAGTAAGGCCGAGGGCCTATGTTGTGAGGAAACATTTGATATTAATTATGAGGTCGAAGGCCCGAGATATGTACGCCACGAGGTTTCTTGATTGATATGAGGCCGAGGGCCTAGTGATGATGCCACGAGGTGGCTTGATATTGCGCTTAGGCCGTAAGGGGCCCTCCAGGAGTCTGTACACCCCCAGTGAGTGCGGGTACCCATTGTGATATGAGATTGAGCCCGTGGGGCTGGTATTGTTCTATGTGATTGCCCAAGGGGCTGGTACTGTTTTGAGATGTTGGCCGAGGGGTGGATTTGTTGATACTATGCCCGAGGGGCGAACCTTTATGTGTTTACTTTTCGTAATTTACTGTCAGTTACCTGCTTATTTGTTAAAAAAGGCTTTTCACGAAATTACATTTGATATAGAGGATTCTTGCTTATCTTTCACTGATTTACTAATTTTTAAATGGTTTTACTGCTTCATTATAGAATGCTTTGTGCTTTACGTGATTTCTTTCTTTCAGTCTTTATTTACATTTGTTACTCAATGAGTTGGAGTACTCACTTTACTCCCTACACCCTGTGTGCAGATTCAGGCGTTGCGGATCTTGCTAGTGCGAGTTGAGAGCTCCCAGCAGATATCGGAGTCCACGAGGTAGCTGCTCGACGTCTGCAGTCCCGTGTATCTCCCTCTTTATCATTTCTATCTCTTATCAGACATTTGTAATAGTTTGGGAATTTTTCAGACTTGTATTAGGTTTTATAGATGCTCATGACTAGTGACACCCCGATATCGGGCTGTGTTTGGGCTGTATTCCGCATACTATACTATCGTTTGCTTAAACTTTGGTTCATTTACTCATGTTTAGACTGTCTCTTAATGCTTAATTATTAATAATTGGAAAATGGAAAGTGTCGGCTGGCCTTATCTTCAGGAGAGGCGCCATCACGACCGGTTCCAGGTTTGGGGTCATGACAAGTTAGTATTAGAGCCTAGGTTACATAGGTCTCACGAGTCATGAGCATATTTAATAGAGTCTCCTGGATCGGTACGGAGACGTCTGTATTTATACTCGAGAGGCTGCAGAACTTTTAGGAAATACTTCATATTATTGAAAATCTTGTCGTGCGTATTTGTTGATCTAAGTACTAAACTTCTGTTGTTCTATTCTCTCACAGATGGTGAGGACACGCGCTACCGGTCAGGGTGGACGACCACCAGTACCACTGGCTGTGGCCCCCAGAGGCCGAGGATGCGACCGTGGTCGTGGTAGGGGCAGAGCAGCTAGAGCAGCACCTGCAGATCCACCAACTGCCCTAGTTCAGGATCAGGTCCTAGTTATGGACGCTCCAACAGCACCAGCTCAGGCACCAGCTGTGCCCATTGTGATTCCGGATCTTCAGGAGGCCTTGGCTCAAATCTTATCAATTTGCACTGGCCTAGCTCAGGCGGTTTAAGCCAGTACAACCGCAACTACTTCTC